CACAAGAGCCGCACACAACACCAAAGCCTCCCCCAGGATTTTTTCCCATTTCGGGACATTGCAAAAGGAAAGGAAAGGGGGGCCATGCAGGTCATTGGGGGAGGGGAAAGGAGCACCCCAAGTTTGTGGGCTGCCCTTCCTGACCCCCCCTTTTGACCTTCCACACAAGCCCCGGCCAAGGGACACCAGGCTGGACACCAGACCCCATTTCTGACTCCACCCTCCAAGCAGCATCTTCTTGGTTCAGATGAAGTATCTGGGGGGTGGGGGTGGGGGGAGGCCTCGTCTCTTGATTGACCCTCTAATTAAGCCAATTAGGGAGAAATTCCACCTTGCCAAGGTCAAGCTGGAGCCTCCCTTTGCAGCCCCTTTGTCAGGATCTGCGCAAGCTAGAAATCAAAGCTTAATTGAATGTAAGCTTGGGATGCATAGTTGACAGGGTTAAATGTTCTAATTGTCACTTGGAGACCCTGTTTGCTTGTTCCTGCCATCAAAGTTAGGAGAGAAGGGGGAGGAAGGTGCCAAGCCAGGTGCTACCGTTATCTCTGCAGAGGCGCCAACAAGGTCAAGCAACCGTGAGACCAGGAGAAAGGCGCGAGGAATTTCAAGCAGGAAAAGAAAGGAGAAGGGGGGGAAAATGGGCTTAAAAAGGGAAGGTTTTGCTTTGTAGGCTTAGACTCAACAAACTATGGATGCTGTGCATTTCTCCTAATAAAGAAATCTTTAATGGAACTAATTAGAGTCCAGAGGATTTGCTGAACTTGGGAAATGAGTGTGCAGACTCTGACAGGGGCTCAGCTTTGTAAGCGAGGTTTAATGAGCACCTTGTTCGTCATATTCGAGTGCTTTGTAATTTGATAAAGTCTTCCACATCCTAGCCTTTTATGCTCCCCTACACCCATTTAATGCTCTTACCCCTTCTTTTAGATTCCAGCTTTTTATATATACGTTTAGTATCTATCTATCTATCTATCTATCTATCTATCTATCTATCTATCTATCTATCTATCTATCTATCTATCTTTTACATCTTCTAGCTTTATATATTTTTATTTGTACTCTTGATGTATCTTTTATGCTTTTTTCATGAGTGTACCCCACCCTCCTTATGCTGGTCTATGACCGTAATAAAGATTTGATCTGATACTTACTAAAATGCCAGGTGAGATGCGGATGGCAAGCCTAGCGCACTGGCGCTGCCACACGTCTGTGGTTTGTGAAACCCTGCTTGTCCTTATGAACGAAAGCAGACCCTCGCTTTGTCTTATGACCCATCACTGATAAATCGGTCCGTTGTTAATCCCCAGAATTTTTAGGGGCTGCTTTATTAATGCATTATCTGCATGGATTAGGGATCAGCAATCTGTCATGTTTGGTTTTGCCATTTTTGATGACAGATCTGTCAGGTTTAGTCTGTCAAATTTGACTCTTTAAAAAAAAAAAAGATTGTTTTAAAATGTGTGTGCATTTGGACACGCGTTCTTCCAAATCTGTGCATTTTTGTTCGCAAGTTGGCCCAGTATAAAACTTTTTTGCAAACCATGTTTGCAATCCATTCATAGTTGTGCATTATTTCCACGAATATTGCAGTTTTGTTCCGAGTTTGCCCTAAGGGACTGCAGACGTCAACATTCAGAGAATTGTAGTTTTGAAGGAGAACTAGGTCTTGGTTCATGAGTAGGTCTGAAACAGTGAAATGAGAAAAAAAATTAAGTATATACTAAGCAAATGTCTCTCCTGTTCCCTGGTATGAATTGTGGAGCACTGATGTTTTTTCAGGTTTTATTTAAGGTCTCTGTTGAATGTGT